AGAAAGAGGGATCAGTGTGAGGCCACCCTGTGGGCTGGGACCATATGCCCACTCTGCCCTCACTTGCCAGGTGGGGGCCCCTGCATGCACCCAGCCCCTGCTGTGGGGGGCAGCGAGACTCCCAGGGTGCATACCTGGGTGTGGGAGGAGCGAGTGCCTGGGTGTGGGTGGAGCGAGTGCCCGGGTGTGGGTGGAGCGAGTGCCCGGGTGTGGGTGGAGGGAGTGCCCGGGTGTGGGTGGAGCGAGTGCCCGGGTGTGGGTGGAGTGCTCACAGAGGACAAGAGAGCCACCTCTCAGGTGATGGGGAGGGGTGCTGTACATAGCAGGCGCCTCCTTGGTGGGCCCAAAGAGTGATGGCTGGGCTGTGGGCTCTGAGAAGCTCTGCCTGCTTCCTGGAACGCCATTTCCTCTTTCTCAGGCTGTTTCCCTATCAGTCAACCTGGCGGCTGTGCACCCCTCATCTCCCCACGAATGGCTCTGCTACCTCAGGTTTCAGGCGTGGGAGCCGGGTCCACGTGCGGCCTGGGGGCCGAGCTCAGTGGTCAGGATCACTGGATCACGCACCCACCAGCAGGGTGCCTCCACCCAGCCTCACCTCTGCAGCCCACCTCTGGACACGGTAGTCTACATTTGTCTGACCTTTGGGTTCCGAAACCCTGTCTTGCACCCAGGAGGCCAGGGGATGACAGGACTGGGTGAAGACCGTCACTTCGCTCCTTGACCACTGAGCTCTTCCTGGTCTCTCACCCTGTCTGCCCAGGCCCTACCGGGAGCTCAGTGGCCACTGTCCCTGCGAGCTTTGAGAGGGGAGGTTGTGGGGCACCTGCACAGGCTGGCCCACCTGTTACTCCAGCCACACCCCAGGGGAGGGGCGATCTCCACCATAAGCAGGGACCTCTGGGGCTCTGGGGTGCGCGGTGTGTCAGGTCACTCGGTTTCCTGCAAAGCTGGGCTCAGACACTGGAGACAAAGCCAGGGTTGTGCCCTGACCCAAGGTGCCTGCCGAGCCAAGGCAGGGCGCACACGACACCACTGGTAGGGCTGTGGCCACCTGCGGGCGTCCGGACCCTGAGCTTAGTGCCACCCCGCCGGCAGGTGAGGACACAGAAGCCTGCGTGAGCCAGCGCCTCACCCAGCTGCGCCCGTGCGGATCCCCGCCACGAGCTCCTCCCGCCTCTCTAAGGACCACCGCGGCCGCCTACCTGTGCAAGCTGAGCGCGCAGCGCCGCGAGCTCCCCCTGCAGACGCGACCGCTGGGTGCGCAGTGCCGCCATCTGCTCCTGCAGGACGCGCCTCTCTGCCTGCGCCTCGGCCGCCTCCTGCCCCCTGCTGAGCTGCTGTGGCCGCCAGAGCACCTGGGCCGGAGATGCTGGGCGTAGGCCAGGGATTGGGAGGGCCCGAGTTTCTGAGAGCAGGGTCGTTCCATCTAAGGCTGGCTCTGGCCTCAGCTTATTTTCTCCTAAACAGCGTGTCCACAGCTGACTCCTCTGTTGTAGGGGTGCTTACGGACGGCAAGAAATCCAGCCCCCTGACTCCCTGTGGGCCCCTCCAGCCTCAGTTTCCCCATCTGTCAGCAGGGGACTGGATGGGGCCTGGGTCTCTGCAGGCCTGCACACTTGCCTCCAGCATCTCTCTAGGCCTCCCATCATGCCGAGGGGCTGATTCTGCAAAGGACCACAGGGCCTCTCCCCTGTAGGCCTGTTCACCGCCTCCTGGTGACAGCGTACCCTGCCCTCCTGGGCACCCTCACCTGTCGCAGGGGCTCCAGTGATCCCTCAGCCTCCTGGCACCTGTGCTCCAAGTTGGTGAGCTGCTCCTCCAGCAGCTTCCCCTTCTTGGCTAGGCCTTGATTGTGCCTCCTGCTCTCATCAAGGGCCTGGTGCAGCATGTCCAGTTGCTCCTGGGGGAAGGAGACACAGGGCCCACCTGGAGACAGTGGGGGTGGGAGGCCCTGCAGTGAAACCCTCACCTCAGGGCATCTGCCTAGACTGTCTGGCAGGACCGTATCACTGGGATGAAAACAGCAAGAACGTGGTTAAGAACAACTTGAAGTGTGTTGATCAGGTGGTTGTGTTTGCAATGTAAGTCAAAGGTGTGGACCCCCAGGAAGCCTGAGATGAAAGTCCTGGGGGTCTGGTCCAGCATGGGCAAAGGTTCAGGCTTGGCAGGTTCTCTGCTGCAGCCAGTGGTCTCAGAGGGCACATCAGTGGCATCCCTGCCCTGCTTCCAGCTTTGGTGACTCCTACTGCCCTTGGGATAAAGCCTAAGGTGACCCTCCCCAAGGCTCCTGGAGCGTGTTTGGCTCAGGCCCTGCTTGCCCCTTCTGGCATTACACTGTGTGTTCTCCTGCTTCAGCTCCCACCTGGGGACATGGCTAGTCCCATACTGAGCTCAGGAGCTCCAGAGCCCATGAAGGTGGGATGGCCCATGATCGCTGCTATGTCCCTCACCCCTGCGCCCTCTTCTCAGCCCCTCTGCCATCAGCCTGTCCAAACCACCATTATCCACTTGGGACCAGTGACAACCCTTCAGTTTCCTCACTGTCCCCAGGCGCTGCTACCCCATGACGGCTGAGGGTGCATTTCACTTGAATATCATTGGCCATGCCACTGCCTTGCTCTGGGCCTGTGGTGCTCCCAGCTGCCCCCAGGACACTGCCCGGGGAACTCACCACCCCTTCAACCACGTGCACCTGCTGCCCTCTGTGCATCACCTTCCCCGTGGCGCCCCCACCCTACACTGCCGCCTTCTCCTCCTGCTTGCAGGAATCCCGCCTCCCTGTCACCCCAGGAGGGAGGATGGCACCCGTGAGGTCCCCTGAGCCGGCAGCTGTTGGGCCTTGAGAGGCCCCCAGACGTGTGAAGAAGCTTACAAGGCATCTGTCACTGGAAGCTTGTTGACTGCGAGTTGGCCTGGTCAGGTCTTGATGAGCCCCCACCCTTGCACCTTCCCGAGGGTTTTGTGGGAGAAATGGCTAGCTCCTTCTGGGGTGGCCGGACTCTGGAAACACTTTTTTTTTTTTTTTGGTCCAACATTTTGTTACTTTAAAAAAGGAAAAGAAGGAAGACAATGCTTGCACCTCAGATTGTGATGCTTCACCCTTTGTGCAATTTTGAAAATTATAATTTTCTGTATAATTTTCCAGTAGAAAAGCAGAAGTTTTCGTCAAATAGCTTAAATATTTCACGGCAGTTTTAAGAGGTCCCAAACCTTTTGTAATGACTCAGCTTTTATGGAATTTGAAGGAACCGTAATAATTGAATGGTTCTCCTTTAATGCACAGCCCCACTGGCCCCAGGGAGTTGCTCTCATCTCTTGTGTCCCTTTGGCTCTAAATCCTGATGCTGTGTCAGAGGCAGGCTGGCAAAACAAACCTTGAAAACGTGGATTCGGTCTGAGAGTTTAAGTAGGTGCAGAAAAGAATCCCAGCCCTTCTCCCCCAGAGCTGAGTGCTCGGGGATGAGCCTGGGCTCCAGGGGCTCCTACCCTGGAGCCCGAGCAGGGCAGAGCCTGGGCTTGGAGCCAGCATGTGGGGCTCCAGTGTCAGTTTCCCCATGTGGGGCGCAGGTATGAGGCAGCCTCACAGGGGTCTCGTTGGGACCAAAAGAAGGCTGGGGCAGGGTGTGATGGTTCATGCCTGTAATCCCAGCACTTTGGGAGGCTGAGATGGGCAGATTATCTGAGGTTAGGAGTTCGAGACCAGCCTGGACAACACAATGAAGTCCCCCCGTTCCTACTAAAAATACAAAAAATTAGCCGGGCATAGTGGCGGGCGCCTGTAATCTCAGCTACTTGGGAGGCTGAGGCAGGAGAATCACTTGAACCTGGGAGGCAGAGGTTGCAGTGAATCAAGACCACGGCACCGTACTCCAGCCTGGGCAACAAGAGTGAAACTCTGTCTCAAAAAAAAAAAAAAAAAAAAAAAGGCTGGGAGGATGCTGTGGACTCTGAGATGCCCCCAGGGAAGCTGTTACAAATGAAGGGCTTGCATGGAAGGCTGGGAAATATCTGAATATGAGCAGAAGGGACAAAGGCCTCGTTAAGCATCCTGCTGGCTACACAGAGGAGGACAGGGCAGGCCACAAACACTCGCCAAATCCATCCTTTGGGCTCTTGGAATTGGGGTCCTCAGTCTGATACCCATTTATCCACTGGGCGACGATGGGCCAATTCGGTTGCCCACTGGCAGGTATCCCCTGGGCTCCCTGCACTGGCCAGTTGCCCCATCCTGCCCTCAGGCCAGTCACGGGACAGAGTTAGCTCTGGACAGTCCTCAGATACAAGGGTGTCAGAGCCCTTCACTCCACACAGTGGGACTCTGGGGCCAGACAGAGGGCAGGGTCTGATGCTAGTTCATGGTGGCAGGGCCTCCTCTGGACTGTGGCCTGCCCTGCTGCCTCTGTATCTATTCTGCCAGCCTCTCCTGCTTTGACCATACTAGCATTATAGCCTGTTGTACTATTCACTTTCAAAATTTTCTTGGAAAATCTCAAACATCTATTCTTTCCTGTAAACTTTGCAATCAGCTTGTCCAGTATTCTCTAAACACATCACAAACAAATAGACAAAACCAAACCAAAAAAGCGAATTACCAACAAACAACTGACAAAGCGGGAGCATAAACACAGATCCACCCAGAAGCTGATCAAAAGAAAACCATCATCCCTGCCCAAGCCACAGCCTCTCCAGGAAGATGACATACTCAACCAAAAGTGGCACAAACACGCACTCATGCTTTCAAATAACCCTCGAATTCAAGAAGAAATAAAAATGGAAACATCTAGAAAACTAGTAAAAAGGAAAAGAACTCACATCAAAATCTGATGGGACACATACCAAACCACAATTAGGGAAAATAGGATCACATTAAATGCTCTTACTATTGAAAGACAAAGCCCAAACATAAACAAATTACTTATTCCTTTCAAGAAATCAGAAAAATTACAACAAAAAGAGAGTGTTGGCTGGATGTGGTGGCTCATGCCTGTAATCCCAGCACTTTGGGAGGCCGAGGTGGGTGGATCACTTGAAGGCAGGAGTTCGAGACCAGCCTAGGCAATATGGTTTAATACCATCTCTACAAACAAACAAACAAAAATACAAAAGTTAGCCAGGTGTAGTGGCATATGCCTGTAGTTCCAGCTACTCAAGAGGCTGAGGTAGGAAGATCGCTTGAGCCCAGGAGGTAGAGGCTGCAGTGAACCGAAATCATGCCACTGCACTCTAGCCTGGGTGACAGAGCGAGACCCTCAAAACATTTTTTAAAGAAGTAAACTAAAAATAAAAATAGAGTGTTCATAGAAACAAAAGCTGAAATCGATAAACTAGACAAAAATAAGAGATAAATTGATTCTTTGAAAAGAGGAATAAAACATGAACTGCTGGCAAAATCAGACTAAGGGAAAGAAACAAATCTCCAACACGAAGGACAGAAACAGCTATAACTCCACATGTAAATAAGGCACAACTATGCATATAAGGCAGGTGTAACTGCTGACAAGACCATGTATATAACGAAGGTGATGCCGAGCAGATGTATGTGCAGGTCTTCGGCAATGTACTGAACGTGTAAGATGAGTTATGCTCCCATAGCGCAAAACTGACCCCAGAAGAAATGGAAAACTAAAACAGACCCTTGACAGAAGAGAGATTGGAAAGGGAATTCAGTTGTATTCTTCACAATGACAGGAGCTGTGGAATACGTACAGGGAAGTTCAACGAACCTTTCAAGAAAAGTTAGTTTGAGTGTTCCAGGTGATGGAAAAAATGGAAAGCCCACCAATTCATTTTATAAAATAATAAAATTTTCTTAACACAAATCTGAAAAATATGTCACCATAAAGGAATTACAGATGCAAAAATTCTTGACAAAACACTGAGAGAAATCAAGTCCGACTGTGGCTCAGTGTCCACCTTGTGGGCCCTGCCGGCCCTAAGCTGCTCTGCTAGCTTTGGGCATGTGTGAACCCTGGAAACTTTTAGAACCTGTGACTGATGCTGAGTTGAGCCCCCACAGGCGGGTGAACTCCAGGGCTGGCACTGGGGATGTGGGGAGCTGGGGGGGTGGGTGTGGCACGTGGGCACAGCAGGGGAAGGAGGCCTGGGCAAGAGTCCAAGGACGCCATGAGCTTCCCTGAGCCACGGAGGCTGTGACCAGGCGTCAGTCCAAGGGTGGCATGGGGGGCCTTTCTGAGCCCACATGAGGCTGTGGGTGATGCTGGGTGAGTGCCAGGCCTCCTGCCTGCTCGGAGACCTGACCAGCTACTTGGGCACTGCTGCTGCATTCTGCGCGTGTCCTGACGCCACGGGCTGGTCCTGCACGGCTGTTCTATCAAATTCCCAGGGTAGCCTTGGAAACGGGGAGGGATTTGCTCTCAAACAAGAATCTTACTGTTTGCATAGCACAGCCTACCATTTAATTAGAAAAATATGTTTTTAATTAACTTTCTCTTGACAAACACATTGGCTTATGTGAAACAGGGGAAAAACCAGTCCATGAAAGTGAAAGAAGTTGTGTCAAATGCAGAGCTGGCTCTAGACTGTGCTGGGAGCTTGGCAGAGCCAGGAGAGGTGCCAGGCCTGCCCTACTGGACCCTAGCACCCCCCGGGCTCAGCAAGGGGCACGGGGCAGCAGGGAGCATGGCTGTGTGTTCCCAGCCCCCTGGCTGGCTAGAAAATTTCAACCCTGAACTCTCTGCCTGGGTTTGCTGTGTGTCACAAGTGTGGGCCTCTGGTGACTTAGGTGTGCCTGAATCCCGAAACCCACCACAATGACCAATAGATTACAAAAAGTTGGGAAAAACTTTCCTCAGGGCTGGAGACCAGGGACTCGGAGGACTCCCGAGGGCAGATGAAACCAACCTGCCTAAAAATAGGTGAAACAGTGATTGCCAGAATTGTAAGAAAACATTGACACAATAATGATAGATTTTAGCACATTTCACTAAAAGAGTTGAGCAAATTCTAGACCAAGCAGAAAAATGCATACAGACAAAGGTCTGATCAACGTCAGAGGTGTCCTCTGCACTTTGGCTCAGAGACCCAAAGTGGGACCCCCGTACCCCCATACCCTGGCTCAGAAGGGGGAGGACTGGAGGGAGCTGCAGGGGTGTTGGGGAGGCAACTCTATCCCACTAGGACCTCAGGAAAGAGGGTTGCTGTGGCTGGGGGACCCAGGGAGCCCTCCATCCCTGTGAGGCAAGCAGCTGGGGAGGTGGAGGACCCCACCAAGACTGTGCACCACCAAGACTGTGCACCAGAGAGCGCCCCCCCACCCCGCCCACTTCGGGAACAGAACGGCTCTGGGAGGGGCCCGAACTCCACTACTGGCTCCCTACACTCCCCAGTGGCTCCCTATGGCTGCAGGATCTTGGAACCCTTCTCTCTGCCTTCCCTTTGAGCCTGAAATATTAGGATGGGGACACATAAAGTCCCTGATGGGCTCCTCTCCACTCTCAACTTCAAACAAGGCTAGAACTCCTTTCTTTAAAGACACGCAAAGGAAAAAAAAATCGTAAAACTAGTGTCTACTGGGGTTTGAGAAAATAAAGTGGATCTGAGGAATCAGGTCTGAGAGTCTCTAATTAAACAGAGAAGTGAGCTACTGACACGCATCAGAAGATGGTAACTGGCGTTCTCAAGGTGAGGACAGGGCAGGGGTCTCGAGGTGGACAATCCAAAATGAAAACTCAGGCCGAAGGAGGCCGCTGTGGGGGCAGGAGCAGCAGATGAGATGTGGCAGATCCTGACATTAGCTGAGTAGGAGGAGTGAGACCTGAAATTCTCCTGGGACCTTGGGGAAAACCGAGATGAGAAGGAGAAATTCAAGACTGAAGCCAGGAGGACAGGTCCGGGGGTCAGTATTGGGATGCTGAGAATTCAGGACAAAAGAACAGAGAAGAGGGAGAAGGAGAAGAGATGGTTTTTTTGTTTGTTTGTTTTGTTTGTTTTTAACAGTGGAAGGAACCTCTGTAAACAGAAGGTAGATTTGATTTTGCAAGTAGGGAGGGCTTGCCAGGGTAGGTAAAAATAATGAAAGGGGCCGACATGCCCACATTTTGGTGACATTTTTTAATTTCAAAGACATGGAGGCCTCTGGCTGCCACTCTGGAAAGAGTACTGATAAGAAAAACACAAAGAACCCAGGGAATCCGCACATTTCTTGAACCCGTCTGAACTCAAGGTCAGAGGCAAACAAGAAGTCCAGAATCAAATGAAAACCAGGCCCCTCCAGGAGAGATGCCATGAGCGGCCCCAGTCATCATACCAGAGGCACGGAGTTCACCAAAGCTGGTAACACGTTGCTTGGACCCATGTGGCAGGCAGAGCCCTCAGAGGGCCCCGTGAGCTCTGGCCCCGACGTTATCCTGTGATTACATTGGATTCAGGCCAGGGGACTTTGTGGACGCGAATAGTTGACTCTGAGTTAAGCAAAGGGTGACCACCCAGGTGGGCCTCACCCACTCACGCATGCCCTCGGGTGTCGGCAGAAGGGAGCTGGGAGGTGTGAGGCACGTGGAGACGGGCGGCGTGGGGTGCAGGCGCTGCTGCCACACTGTGAGGCAGCCGAGGAAGCCCTGGGCTAGGAGTGGGGAGCCCTTGGTTGACCGCCCAGAAATGAGGCTCAGCCTGACAACGCAAGGAGCTGGACTCACCACGCTGGGATGAGCCAGGATGCCCCCAGAAGCACCTGGATGAGCCCAGAGGGGGACTCTTCCCTGGGGCCTTGGGTGGCCCAGCCCACCCCATGACTGTGAGACCCAGAGGGGAGATGCCAGTCACACCATGCCAGGCTTCTCACCCATAGGACTGGGGGCTCAAAAGTGGGGTTAAGTCATCAGTAATTTGTTGCAAAAAGTAGTGCACTAGGTATGGGCTGCTGTGGGTAGACAGCCCTGGGGTCCGCAGACACCAAGAGAAGTTCAGCCTACAGGCAGGAGAGCCCAGAGTCCCCCTGGGGGGCAGGTTTGGAAAAGGGGAGTGTCCAGAGCAGGAAGTTCTAAGGAACAAAAGTCTTAGCTCCTAGGGCACAGGTGGAAGCAGTGCAGTTGGGGAGGGAAGGGACAAGACCCACGGTCCCTGGAGGGGGCAGGGCGCTGTCCTGGGTCAGCCATAAGAGGCCCTGGATGCAAATGCTAAGGGAAAAGAGGATGAATAAATCATCCCTACCATGCAAGACAGGACAGGCAGGAAAGACACGTGGAAAGGAGAAAGTACTATCAGCAACCTAAGGAAAAACAGCATGGGTTACCACAAAACTTCTACGTGGGACAAATTCCCCCAGAAGAGGCAGAGACACTAAGGTGGGATTGAAACCAAAGCCAGGCCGACGAAATGAAGGCTGAAAACACAAACACCAAAAAAGCAGAGGCCAAGAGGAAGACAAACAGCAGTCACAGGACATGCCACTCAGGAAAAGTTAACCGAGAAACTTCAAATTCGAAGAGTCAAGAAATCTAGAAGTCAAACACCCTTGGAAATAGGGTATTTTTGTTTCTCCTTGGAAATAAAAGGAGACACTGACAAAAAGAATTGTAGTGGGAAAATTCAACACATCATCCTTAGCTTTGATAAATTCAGGAACTGGATCAAATGTGGCCTATTTGAATAATGCATTTGTAAAGGTTGACTTCAAGGTCTCTTTCAGAACCGGGCACGGTGGCTCACGCCTGTAATCCCAGCACTTTGGGAGGCCAAGGTGGGCAGACCATTTAAGGTCAGGAGCTCAAGACCAGCCTGGCCAACATGGTGTGAAACCTGTCTCTACTAAAAATACAAAAAATTAGGTGTGATGGCAGGTGCCTGTAATCCCAGCCACTTGGGAAGCTGAGGCAGGAGAATCGCTTGAACCTGGGAGGCGAAGGTTGCAGTGAGCCAAGATGGTGCCACTGCACTCCAGCCTAGGTGACAGAACGAGACTCCATCTCCAAAAATAAAATAAAATAGAAGGCCTGTTTCAAAATGTGTAACCTGTGAACAGAGAATGTTATTTCTGAACGCACATGGGAGGCATACATGTGACTATACATATAAAATGAAAGGCTGAGCTTGGCCCAGCTCAGCCCGCTCCAGGTCCCCCGACTTCTTAGGTCCCCCCATCTCCTGGGCATCTCACAAGTCCTGACCCCATCCCTGGCCAGGCCGTCTGGGTCTTTCCACAGACGTCTCTAGTCTTACTGCCCCAGCAGCTTCTCACCAGAGGAGTCTTTCCAAAACAGAAATTTCCCAGCTCCTGGCTAACGAGGAACCTGCCCTCTCTGTAGCCTGGTCTCTGCTCTCTGCCCCTCCCCTCTCCCCTGCAGGAGCCACCTCCTCAGAGGCTCCGGGCCTTTGGGGGACTCAGGGCCTGCCTGTTGTCTGAGTGCTAACAGCCCTCTGGGGGCCTCTGAGGGCCACCAGGCTCCTAGGCTGAGCCTCGCGTGGACCACGGGTGGCTTCTGCAGTTGACCTCGGGGTCGAGGCCTGGCCGGCTGCCCTTGGGGCCCTTCTGCCAACCTGCAAGGCTGTCCCTCCTGATAGCTCACCCAGGCCTCCCTCATTGGAGGGACACTTGGAGAGCAGTGGCTCCCCAATCTCTGTGCCCTGTCCCCTCTACACTGTGCTGGCTCCCTCTTTCCAGAATGGGTTGGGGGACGCCCGGGGGCAGTTGCCCTGGGGAACCTCAGCCAGACACGCTGTTCCCTGGCCGCTGGGGCCTGCAAGGGAGCGCTCTGGAGCGGAACAGCTGTCCCCTGGCCCAGTCCTGACAAGAGAATCTCAGGACACCCCAGGGGATGTTTGGACCTGTGGGGCTGGGCTGGGCCTGGGGCTCTCTACCAGCACTGAGAACCAAGACCTGGGCCAGGCCTCCATCCACTCCGGCCTGGCTGTTCCATTTCCAGGCCTAGGCTCCTCACCTGAAAACCTCAGACCCAGCGGCCACCTCCCCAGCACAAAACCTGGCGTGTAGGGATATTGACTTCAGCCCTTCCTGAGTGACACAGAATGAAAAGTGGTCTTGGAGCAGGACATGCGACCCTATAAAGAGCCCCAAGGTTGGGCCGGGGCCACCCCTATGCGTGCCAGTGTGGCCTCAGCAAGAAGAAAGGGCCTGGACTTGGGGCACTGTGCTCCCAGGGCCAAGTCCTCAGTTTTCCCAGTCTGTAAAACAAGGGCTAGAACCACTTTAAAGACAGCTCTGCTAAGGGCAGCTCCAGTCCTGATGACCCCAAAGCCGCCTGCCACAACCCAGCTGCACCTCTGCCCCAGGGCCCCACTGGGCTGGCCCACTGGCTCCAGCCCTGAACACCCAAAGCAGCCCTTGCAGACCCTCTCTCCCACCTCCCGACCCTGTGGAATTCCCTGCAGGGTGTGAGGGTGACCAAGAGGCCTTGATTTGTGCCCCACCTGGGCCCCACCCTGCCGCCTGCCCCACCTGCAGCCGCCGCTTCTCCTGGCCTGCTGCACGCACGCTCGCCAGGTGCTCCGTCTCCAGCCTGCGGAGCTCCTCCTTCTGCAGGGCATGCGCTGCCCGGGCGCTGCTCAGAGCACCCTCCACCCGGCGCCGGCCTGTGGGGCAAGCAGCGTGGCTCGAGGGGCTCCCACACTTCTCCCAGGTCACAGGCAGGCAATGCGAGGCTCCGTGGACTTGAGTGACTGGCTCCCACGTGGGGTGTGGTTCCATCCTCACAGCTCAAGGGTCCTGAGGCGGTCCCAGGGTCCCGGCTTCCTGTGTCTGGACTCTGGACCTCCTCCCCACCCATCCTTCCCTCCTGCCTCTTTCCTTTAATTGAGGGGGCAATAAGCAGAGAAACTTGTGCATGTGAGGCAGTGGGGAGCAGAAGGAAGGGGCCTCTCTGAGGGGGTGACAAGGGGCAGGGCCTGTCCGGGGAGAGCCTCATGGCTGTCTGGGGGAGAGGGTGCCAGGCAGAGGGCACAGCCCGGGCAAAGGCCCCCGGTGGGAACTGCAGGAGGCCAGGGTGGGGCAGGGGTACAGAGGATGCTGGGGGCCAGATCGGGAGGGCCCTGAGGGGCCTGTGGACGTCACTCCTCTGTTCTGGGGAAGTCACTGCTGAGAACTCCGATGCCAAGCACTGGCCCAGCCTCGCCAGGCCTGGTGGTTTGGGTGTTGTCCCCAGGCTCCCTTCCCACCCAGGGGCTGAAAGCTTAGAGCTGGCAGCAGTGGGGACATGGTGGTGCCACCCTCACAGCCACTCCCAGGGTGGGCAGGGCAGGGCAAGGGCGGTCACCTTCTTCCGCCTCAGCCAGGGCTTTCTGTAGCTGCCCCACACGGCTCTGGGCCCGGGCACACCTGCACTCTGCCTCGCTCAGCCGGCTGCTCAGGGTGGCCATCTGGACACGGGAGTCATCCTGGGCAGAAGGACTGAGGTCAGTGGGGGCAGCCCAGCGGGTGGGTGGAGGGCCGAGGTATCTGCTAGAGGGTCGGGGCCAGCTGGGGCCGCTCACAGTCTAGCCTGTGGGTGTGCAGGGCAGGGCAGTGGGTGGGGCGGGTCGTGGGCTCAGGGAAGGTGCGGCGAAGGTGGTCACATGGGGAAGCTGAGCTGACCTGCAGGCCTGGGGAGGTGGAGGTGCCCACTGGGGCTGGGCCTGAAGGGTCCAGGTTTCAAGCACAGGTGTGGTGTGGGAAAACTGGCAGGTGGTGGCCCACAGCCTGTGGTCAGGGGGACCGGCAGGGGCTGCCCTGGCAGGACTTGGGGCTGAGTGCAGACAGGACCCTGCCCCCTGGGGCTGGCAGCGGTGGGAAGGTGGGCCTGAAGGGAACGAGTGTGCACGGAGGACCCCGGCCAGGGCTAAGGGCCTGCCTCTGTTTTTCCCACAGTCCTGCCCACTGGAGTCCCCTGCCCACTGTCAGCCAGCGAGTTGGGAGGGGGCCGCTCACAGGTGGTTCTGTGGGAGCCCTGAAGCCAGGAGCAGCCCCTGGGGAGCTTGGCCCCACCGGAGGGGAGCACTGGGGGGAGCTGGCTGTGTCCTGCACTTGCCCTGGCAGCTCTTCAGGGGTGGCATGAGCTGCAGAATGCCCTGCCCTGGGCCCTGGTGGGTGTCACAGCAGGGCCTGGCTCCAGGGGCTTTTCAGCCTGGTCCGAGGAAGGGGGAGCCCCCAGCCACCCGAGGCACTTGGGTTTGGGGGCCGTGGTGGTACTGGTTTAGCACAACAAACAGGATAGCCTGGACACTGACCCTGAGACCCAAGGACGTGCGGATGGGTGGACAGCAGGCATTCTTCCCAGAGACCCCCAGGGGGTGCCGCCGTGGGTGGGAGGACCCCAGCCCCCATTACCCGCTCCCGCTGGGCTTCCCGGAGCTTCTGCACAAAGTCCCGCAGGACGTCCTGCACAGTGGCCACATCCACAAGCTCTGAGCTGCGGCCTCCGGGTGTGGGCGAGGGCCATCGGAGGGGCGAGTGGGGCCTAGCTGGGGGGCTGGCACCCTGGTGCCCAGGGAGAGCCTGGGAGCCGTCGGAGCCTGTGGGAGGTGACAGCGGAGGGGTTGTGGGCAGGAACACAGTGACAGATACTCGCCCTTCCCCCTTCCTCTCTGCTGCCCCAGCCACGGGAGCTTGGCGAGCCAGTCGCAGGCTCCTACAATTGCCTGTCCAAGTCCCTCACCGTGCGAGTCGCGAGGCCTGAAAGAGAGGTGCCCAGGCCAGGGACTGAGCTGGGACAGGGGCCCGCCTGTCTCCACTGAGGACTCTGACCTTTGGTGGGGGAACCAGGCTGCTCCGGGGAGACCCACGGGCTCTGTCTTCAGAGCCCCAGGCCACGGCGGAGTGTGGAGCACAGCCGGCCCAGCTGGGCCTCCGCGTCCCGCCTCGCACCCTCAGCCTGGGCCAGCTCCTGCTCCAGGCTGTGGATTCGGTGACAGGCCTGGTCCAGGCGAGCCTGGAGAGCATCAGCCACACCGCCGGCTTCCTGCAGCTTCCTGGTGACACGATGCAGCTCTGCTCGGAGGGTCTGCTCAGCCCCCCGGCTCTCCTGGAGGTGCTCCTGGAGCCGCTGTCCATGGGCCTCCCCTGCGGCCTCCACCTCTGCCAACTTCCTCTGCAGCCCCAGGACCTGTAGGAGGGATGTTGGGGTGCGCCCATGGGAGACAGTGAGGAAGTGGGGTGGGCCTCCTCCCTCTGCTCCCCGACACCCAGCTCCTTCCCTTCTGAGCACAGGCAGCCCTCCCACCTCCTTCCGGGCACCCTCGCGCTTGGCCTCCGCCTTGGCTGCCTGCCTCCGCAGCTCCAGCACCTCCTGCGAGCATTGCACCTGCAGCTCATGGGCCTCTCCACTCCTCCTCTGGTTCTCAGCCTTTAGCGTCCTCACCTGGGAGCGTGGGGCCACATGGACAGGGTCACCGGTCTCTGTGCTGGAAGCCAGGCAGCCTCCTTGCCTCCTGCCTCCACTCACACGTCCCTCGAGGGCAGCTGACCACAGTCAGGGAGTCGGGCTGAGGTGTTCCCAAAGGGCCTTCCCCTGGGAGTTGTCACCCTCAGCCACTCCGCAGACACCTACCTGGGACCTCCTTGGAGGACCTGGGACAAGGAGGAGGCTCAGGTGGGGCAGGGTGGGCACTGATTAGGGAGTGTGGGCAGTGTCTGGGGTGCACTGGCGCCAGCTGCCCCGAGGCTGCCATTATGGGAGGGAGCCAGGCCTCGGGGAAGTCAGCACCCTGCCCCGCAGAGGCCAGGCCTCCCCTCCAGCCTGCCTGAGTTCCCGAGCGCCTCCGGAAGGTGTTACATGTAGGACACTTCCGTGTGCTGCTGTGCGTGGCTCCCTTCCTCCTCGCTAGAGCATTCCTGGTTTTGCCTTCTCCAGTCTTGTCATCTGCGCCCCATGGGCACAGACCCAACCAGGGACCCTGTGAGCCTGAGCAGGGCATGGCCCAAAGTCTGGGGACAGAGCGGTTCAAAGGCGGCAGCAAGGCCAGGTCTGGGGGCTCCTGCACTGCAGCCAGAGGGTGCCCTGGGAGGAGCTGGGACCCACCAGGCGGGAGGGTGCCTGCTTGGATGTTGACCCTTCCCTGCCACCCTACCTGTCTGTGGAGCTCCTGGAGCTCCTGACGGGCGTCCCCCCGCTCCTGCTCCAGCTCCCGCAGGCGGGCCCGCAGTGCACTGGCCTCCTGCTGCAACGCCGCCCGGGCCTCCTCCAGGACGAGCAGCTTCTGCTCCTTCTCCTCCTTGGACCGCTTAAAACTGACGAGGGTGCCACAGGCTGGGGTCCCCGCACCTCCTGGGGGGGCCAGCACAGCTGCCCAGCAGGTCTCTGTCTCCCCTAGTGAGACACTGTCCCCAGTCTTCCCTCCACAGTGTCTTCAAACTCAGCCTCTGCAGGGCTCCCTGTCACCTTTCAGACATATGTCCACCCAGGTCGCAGTGCCCGGCCGCATGGCCCCTGTCCACTATCCACTCTTCAGCGCCTCCTCACCTCATCCCTCCCTGTCTCCCCCTCTCCCTCACACTCAGTATCCAGCCCAGCCTGTCACCTCTGCCACCTGCTGTGAGGGTTGTGCCGTCCCACCCAGCTGCCCCACAGGGGCCTTTCTGGAGACCCAGCCAGGCCCTTGGCCTCCCTCTGCTCCCCAGCTCTGCACCGCCTCCTGGAGGCCACCTGTGACCTATCTTGCCGGTTGGATGGGAACTCCCTGTGGGCAGGGACAGGTGTGTCTGTGTCCCCAGACATCCCTCGCACTGGTCAGCATTGCTGACCTCTTGGACTGGGCAGTGGGCGGCCTGCTTGGCATGTCTACCCCACCATCAGTGGAGCCCAAATCAGCAGGACGCCCCTGCCTAACCCCCTTGCCCCATCCTCCCTACGGCCTGGGTGGGCAGCAGGCTGCAGGGCACCCCCAGCTGCTCCTGGGTGGCCGCCATACCTGGCCTTCTCCTGCTCCGCCCTGCAGATGGTGGCTCGCAGCTCGCTGTTGAAAAGCAACAGTACGTCCTTCTCGCGGGCCTCGTCGCTCAGTGCCTGGCGGGCCTCCTGGGCCTCCCTGCGCAGCCCCTCCCGGCTCTCCTCGATGCTCTGCAGCTCCTGGCGCAGCGCGGCCAGTCCCTCCTGGGCCATAGTCAGCTGTGCCCGCAGCCTTTCAGCCTGGGGAGGAGCATATAGCTCTAGAGGCCAGCTGGGGACTACTGCTCCAGGGATAGCCACAGGGGCCTGTGGCCTCTGACGCTGGTGTGGCAGGCACAGGTGCCCTGCCCAACTTGGTCCCCATGCGCTTTGCTCACCCCGTGAAGCCACCAATCCCTGCTGCTGCAGAGACTGAAGGGCAGCTTCCACCAGCTGGGGCAGGGCCAGCCCAAGAGCCCAGAGAACCCCACCTTGACCCCCCGGGCCCGGGCCCACCCTGTGGCCTCCCTGGACCCCTGGGACACTGACCACTGGTAAGCAAAGCCTACCTGGGATGTGGCTCAGCACACGTGTCCTCACTGTCACCGCCCAGGGCCCTTCTCACCTCCCGCCCCCCGCATCTAGTCCTCTCCTTAGGTGACAGTGTGGTGCCCAGGCCGCTGCCTGTCCTAGTGTGGGCAGCAGCCTCGGCAGGCAGGCTGGGCACTGACCCCACCACAGTGACCCTGCCACAGTGTCAGGGTCACAATGACCTGACACAGTGACCCTGACACAGTGACCCTGACACAGTGGGGCTCACGCAATCCCTCTGCCCTCCTTCCCCCGTTGACATGGGAGGCAGTGGGAGGAGGGTCCCTGGCGATGAGGGGGCAGTGGGAGGAGTGTGTTGGTTCCCCACTCTGGATACCAGGCATCTCACGGTGCCCAGGAGAACCCAGGGGTGGGGTCTGGAGGACAGTGGCAGCCTGGCAGGAAGGCCCTCCCCGGCACCTACGCACTGGGGTGGGGACTTGCTGGGGTTTGGCCCTGGCACCCAGTCTCCTGCCTCCCAGGTCTGAGCTCTGGGCCTGGCCAGAAACCCTGGAGAGGGCTCCCTTCCGGCTCTCGTGTGTCCCGGAGGAGGAGACGGAGGGAGCTGGTGGGGCGTGCCCAGAGGTGGAAGCCACAAAGACTCCGCGACGGCAAGGCGCTGGCTGGCCGAAAGCAAGCCCCTCTTTCTGGCTGTTTTCACGGGATATTGTCCAGGCCCCCGGCCGGCCTGGCTCCCGAGGCTGCCGCTGTTATTGTTGTTCTGTTTTTGGGAAGGGCAGGAGCCTCCCCTCCGCTCCCCTCCACCCCCACACGTGGGAGCCGTGACCGTGCGGAGCATTTTCCGCCGAGCTCAGCAGAAACCCGCCCAGAAGGTCAAGGACCCGCACAAGGGCCCATGCATTATAAAAGAAACTGTTTTCATTTCCCAGGGCAGAGGAGATGAAAACAAGCAAAACAAATGCAGGAGGAGGGCCGCCCCCACCCCACCCCCACCCCACCCGCTCCCTCTGCCTCCTGAGAACAGCCATCCCTTTTACAGGAATTTTACAGCCAAATCACTTAATGTGATTATAATAATTATTTCGTTGCTAGAAATTGTATAAACAGCCTCTTTTAAAAATCTCCTGCAGGGAGGCAGCTCCAGAGCTCTGCAGGGGAGGAGGGCTGTGGAGGGACAGCAAGGGAGGGTGAGTGTGTGAGTGTGTGTGTGTGTGCACGTGTGTGTGAGTGTGCGTGTGTGAGTGCATGTGTGATGAGTGTGTGAGTGTGCATGTGTGTGTGTATGTGTGTGAGAGTCTGTGAGTGTGTGTGAGTGTGCGTGTGTGTGCGTGTGTGAGTGCATGTGTGATGAGTGTGTGTGCGTGTGTGTGTATGTGTGTGAGAGTCTGTGTGTGAGTCTGTGCGTGTGTGATGAGTGTGTGAGTGTGCGTGTGTGCGTGTGATGAGTGTGCATGTGTGAGTGTGCGTGTGTGTGAGTGTGCATGTGTGAGTGTGCGTGTGTGTGTGCATGTGTGAGTGCATGTGTGTGTGCGTGTGTGTGCGTGAGTGCATGTGTGATGAGTGTGTGT